CCACTCACTCAACCACTCACCCACCCACTCCACCCACTAACCCACTCAACCACTCAACCACTCCACTCACCCTCCACCCAACACCACCACTCACATCAACTCCAACCACCCACTCACCTAATCACTCACCAACTCAACCACTCACTCACATACTCACTCACTCAACCACTCAACCACTCAACCACCTCCCTCCTTCACTGGTCGCTTCGCTCCCTCCATCACCCCTCCATCACCTCCTCCGTCGGCGTCCTTCACCCAAATCCGCATTTTCCACTTTCCCCCTCCACCCCTATAATCGCCTTACCTCCACCCATCTTCCCCCTTCGTCGCCCTCTTTCGCCCCTTCACCTCCCTCACCCTGTCCACCCACCTCCCTCACCCCCTCACTGCCTCCCTGACCTAAAATCGCCCTTCCCCAAATTCTCCCAAATCGCCCTGAAAATGTGCCTAAAATAATCCTTCAACATTTCTCAACTTCTTCACTTTCCTCTTACTAGCCCTCTGGTCGCTGTCGCTCCTGTACCTGCTGCACATCACCGTCGTCCGCCTCGACGTCCTGAGGATACGCTCCCACCTAAAATCACCCTCAAGCCACCGCATCGCCGCGCAGTCCCTCCTCGCCGCCGCACGCGTCAAGGCACTCGCCAACGTCAAGTACTTCTCACCATAATCGTGCCTTCACGTGTGATCTGTGTATCACCCACCCACCCACCTAATCACTCACTCACCACCCACCCACCTAATCACTCAACCACTCAACCACCCACTCAACCACTCACCCACTCACCCACTCACTCACTCACTCACTCAACCACCCACTCACCCACCCACTCACTCAACCACTCACTCACCCACTCACTCACTCACTCACTCAACCACCCACTCACCCACCCACTCACCCACCCACTCACTCAACCACTCACTCACTCACTCAACCACCCACTCACTTACTCACCTAATCACCCACTCACTCACCCACTCACTCAACCACTCAACCACTCAACCACCTCCTCTTTCACTGGTCGCTTCGCTCCCTCCTCCTTCCCCCCTTCCATCACCTCCTCCGTCGGCGTCCTTCACCCAAATCCTCATTTTCCGCCTTTTCCCTCCTCCTCCGAAACCGCCTTACCTCAACCCATCTTCCTCCTTCATCGCCCTCTTTCGCCCCTTCACCTCCCTCACCCTGTCCCTCCACCTCCCTCTCTGCCTCACTGCCTCCTCCACCTAAAATCGCCTATTCCCAAACTCCCCCAAATCGCCCTGAAAATGTGCCTAAAATAATCCTTCAACATTTCTCAACTTCTTCACATACCTCTTACTCACCCTCTGGTCGCTCTCGCTCCTGTACCTGCTGCACATCGCCGTCGTCCGCCTCGACGTCCTGAGGATACGCTCCCACCTGAGATCACCCGCAAGCCACCGCATCGCCGCCCAGTCCCTCCTCGCCGCCGCACGCGTCAGGGCACTCGCCAACGTCAAGTACTTCTCACCATAATCGTGCCTTCACGTGTGATCTGTGTATCACTCAACCACTCACTCAACCACTCAACCACTCACCCACTCAACCACTCAACCACTCAACCACTCACTCAACCACTCACACACTCACACACTCACCTAATCACTCAACCACCCACTCAACCACCCACCCACATACTCACTCACCCACTCACCAACTCACCCACCCACTCACCCACTCAACCACCCACCCACTCAACTACTCAACCACCCACTCAGCCACTCAACCACCCACCCACTCAACTACTCACCTTATCTTTCACTGGTCGCTTCGCTCCCTCCTCCATCACCCCCTCCTTCACCTCCTCCGTCGGCGTCCTTCACCCAAATCTCTATTTTCCACCTTCCCCCTCCACCTCCTAAATCGCCTCACCTCATCCTATCTTCCCCCTTCATCGCCCTCTTTCGCCCCTTCACCTCCCTCACCCTGTCCACCCGCCTCCCTCACTGCCTCGCTGCCTCCGTCACCTAAAATCGCCTTTCCCCAAACTCCCCCAAATCGCCCTAAAAATGTGCCTAATAATCCACATGATATCCTTACTAACCTGTGCTCTGGCTTGGAGAAGTTCCTTGGTTACCAAGAAACTTCCAAAGGTTACGACGGCACTGGCATCGTGTACTCCGACCTTGACAGGCTCTGCGACGGGGTGATGTCTTTCCTTCATGGAGTTCTCCAGACTGTGAAAGATGATGAGAGTGTTAAAACGTATGATAAAGATGATTTGAAGATTACTAAAGTTATTAGTGATTTACATAATAGTGTAGGTAAAGGCCGTCAGGCCTTCCAGGCCGCCGTGCATAAGGTAAGTGAGTGGTTGAAAAAACATGGTGCGCAGGTTGGCAACAAGACTGGAGAGGTGACTGCGGAATTAGGTGAGTTGATTGGTAATATTTCATCTCCTTCAGGTAAATACTACGAGAAGATTTCACTGCTGGATAACCAGCCGCTCCAAGTGCAGCTGCAGGAGTGGAGCATAGTGCTCGGACGTATAGCAGCAGATTTAATAAACATTACAAATAATAATCTTACTGACTTAGACAGCACATTAGCATCACAAATAGCGCACGAAATTAAGCCGATTCAGAAATCGGTGGAGGTGCTGCTTGGGGCGGCTAGGGAGGGTGAGCTTGAAAAACAAGTGCAAACTGTAGATAAAACGTTGGAGAGGACAAAAAATGAAATCAAGAGAGACATTAAAGAGAGGTTTAGTAAAATCGATGAGAGTGTTAAGGATTTAGGGAAAATAAGGGGACACTGCTTCAAGAAAATTTGTGATAAATTGAAAGATGCCAAGATATTTATGGACAACGACTTCAATAGGGAGTACGCAAATGAAGTGAAAGGTTATTTCGACATGGTCAAAGAAGCTGTAAATAATGTTCATACGACTTTGAGTAAAAATAAAGGGGATCTTGGCGAGTTGGTAACGCAGGCTCGGGCGAACTTTGTGGCGATTAAAAATGATGTTGGGACTACAGACGCAGCACTGGGAGATACTATATACGGTGGTTGGCAGTATCTTAGGATTCATATTCAGGGGCTTGTGGGAGACCTCAATGGTACAGACCTTATGCACCGTGGTCCCCCAAAATCCGGTGTTCTTCGTGACATTGTCGACGGCGTGTTGAAGTACGTCAAGGGGTTTGGCGAGAAGACTACACAAGATGATAGTTTTGAAAACACAGTCGATGAGTGGATAAAAGAGATATTAAGGGAGAATGAATATGTGGGAGAGAAGGTGAAGGCGTACGTGGAAAATAACAAAGCTTTGAGAGGGGAATATAAGGTTGAGGATGCCAAATCATTTAGCGAAACTGCAATTGTAAAAATTGCAAAGCATATTGCTGGGAAGCTCGAAAGCGAAAATGTGATTGGTGAAGCCGTTCAAGAGGTCCAAGAACGGATCAAAGCTGCAAACAGAGATGCAGATAAGATTAAAGGGTATATTGAAGCTGCACAGTTCGTTTGCAGTGAGTTTATTGGTGGTGTTGAGGAGGTTATTCAAAATGGTAGAATCGGATCAGTGAGTTTCGATCAAATAGCCGGGGAGATTGAAGGCCAGTTAGGAGTATCCAATTCCGGCCTTAAAAAGTATGATCTTCAGGAAGCTATCAAGCGAATAATGATGATGCTTTCCACCACCGCCAGCCAGGTTGCCAACGAACTGCATCGATTAGTCACTAAATCCGAACTCGGCACCAAACTGAAACAGGCCATAGAAAAAGTTGCAGAGATTAGCATGCAATTTAACGGCGTGAAAGATGATGGCGCACGACCGCACGACTACGGCGATAATATTCAAACAGTGTTGGATCGGGTCGTGCAAAACATCGATCCACTCGGCATTTTGTTAGGCAAAACTCTAAACACTGATGGGTCCATTCAGGGAAAGTTTAAGGAAATCGAAGGGGACCTGAAAAGGCTTGACAACCTTAAGAAAGGAAAAGAGCAAGAAGGCAGCGTTGAATACTATAAGGATAAAGCAGAAGAGAACATGCGGGAGTTGAAAAGGGAAATACAAAGCAAACTTGAAGCCATCGAACATGACGTAAATAATGCTAACGTGGATTTACACAATGCCATAAAAGCGCTTCTAGAGACCTTGGAAGAATCCCAAGAAGCATGCTTAACATCCGTCACCTCCGCCTTCGCCACCCTCACCGCCGAGGTCCGCGCTCTCTTTGCCCAGGGCCACAAAGCCGACCTGGCGGCGCTCAAAAAGCTGGTAGAGGAGCAGAAGGGAGAGATAGAGAAAATCATCGAGAAGGATAAAAGCAACGGTGTTAAGGGGCTTTTGAAGAGAGTATACGGCGGAGAGTTTCCAAGTTCTGAAGTTCCTCCACCTGCTACACCTCAACCGGACACACTGCTCACCAAGCTGAATGAAGCTTTAAGTCAGAAAGCTGACGGTCAAAAAGTCAGAGATCTGGCCAACAAGTTTGAAGACTATATTGATGGTATTCTGCAGTACGCTGAGTATCAAGTGAGTAGCCCGTCTGAGGATCCGCGTAAGCGCAATCCCACCGACCAGTCTGAGAGAGTGAGAGCCTTGAAGGGCGCACTGGACACTCTACTCACTTACCTCCGAAACAATTCTACTAGAGATTTTTGTTTTGATCACATTTCCACGTCTTATTTAGATGCTCTTAATGCGTCTCTCCATAAACTTTCCCCCGCCCACTTCCACGGCTTCCACAACCCGCTGCTCCTCGACGCCCTCAGGTCCGGCATGGACAAATTCACCGAGCAACTCTCCCACGCGTACGTGAATACATACAGTGGTAGAATCCCTACTGAGAAGTGGGTGATTGACAAAGTAAATTCCGACAAAACACCACCCGAACAAGTCCTTTCCACCGAGGGCCGGAACTGCGCCAAGGTCTGCCTGACCATACTGGAGGGGTTGAGAAGTGATTTGTGGAAGTTGAGAATCGAGTGTGATCAAAGTAAATCTCCGAATGGAACACAAATTAACAGATATAAACACACCTCATTTGGCAAATGGTTCCATGAACGTGGTTATACGGTAAATTCCACTGAGGGCAAGCAGACCGGTGAGCTACAGGATAAAAAGGAGATGAACGGTGAGAAAATTAAGAGTGATTTACTTGAGAAGAAAATTGAAAACGCCGACAAAGTTGAATCACTTAAACAATGGAAGGATGAGCAGAACAAGAATTCTAAGAGCAAACAGACTAATGGTGACATCACTCTCATCGACATTGTTGACTTCCTTCGTGACTTTTCTCGTACGTGTTACCGCTTCGGTCACTACTACATTCCTTCCTCACCTAAGTCACCGTCCAACATATATAACATGCTTTGCTGGCTTGCCGGCCTGAAGTACAATCACATGTTTGACAGGATTGACGAGCACTTCAAGGAACTGTTCGACAAACCTGACGCCGAGAAAGATAAGGCATATAAAAACATTGATCATACAGAACTTAGCCTAGATGCAACCTCGCCAGTTACTCCTACTGCCACCTCAAAGATTACCCCTAAAGATCTAACAGACACACTCGGACAGGTTTGTTTATTCTCACGCAATGTACTCATCGCCTTCCTTGGCAATGGTCACGCTGAAGGGCGGTATGCCGTTGACTTTAGCTGTAACTCAGATAATTTATTATATCCCACCAATGCTAGTGCCTGCTTCGACATGCTCGTAGATATTCTGAATAGAGTGTTTTGTCAATTGCGATTCTTATGTAGCCAGTGTCAGAATGGGCCCACTCTTGGCGGCTGGGCTGACTGCTGGTATGGTCGTGGAGTAGGCGGATCAGCGTGGCTGTGCAATGATAGACAGTGCCCTAACCAACAAGGTGACCCAATGGCTACCCAAAACAGTAACCAAAAGCACACCCAAAAGTGTGACCAAAACTGTAACCAAAGTGTTAAGTGCGGCCTCAAATCACCGTTGCAGTCCTTTTTGGAGGACGGTCTTCCTGGGTTCCTTCCTCATTCAATAACCTCTCCTGGTTGCAAGCTGACATGTAGTCTATCCAACCACAGGGGTATCCCCTGTAAAACGCCGATGGGCTTTAATGATATTTCCCAAGTGGCGTCGCATACGAAGAGAGCATCGCATCTCAAGGATGCCCTTTCCTATTTCTGCGGCCCAGGTTCTAACTTTAAAAAGTTGTGTTCATACCTCTCGTGCCTCCTTCGCCGACCACCGCAAACTCTTGATGATATGCTAGCGTTCTACTATCAGTTCCTTAAGCACTGGGACAACAGAAATGTTAGGCAGCATAAGAGTGTCGCATTTGATGATGCCGTTAAAAAAGCAAACTTCGGAGATACCAATACACAATTAAACATCGCGTCCATTCAAAGCAGCAGTGCGCATTCTGAGAAGCATTCCAAAGGTGACCTCTTCAGCCTTACAGATTGTAATCATCAGACGAATTGGGGCCTACCATGCGGTAAATACTTACATCCGCTTACATTGGATATCCGTTCCATATTTTCGGAAAATCGCGCTGGTAACTATCTCTCCTGGGTGGTGTACTGTACTGAGACATTCGTTTGTCTGCTCTACGATTTGTACGCATCATGCAAAAAGTGTGAGACGCCTGGCAGCAGATGCTGTGACAAGAGCTGTATTAAAACGTGTACGGTAAAATACACCAACGACCAAGGAGATGCCGTTATCCCCAAAGCAGGCACCAATCACGATGCTGAATGCCATTCCATCGTAAAATGCCCGGACACACATCCTACGCTGTACAAATATGGCTTCACGTTCACCAGCCCAGACGGACTAAGCGGAGAAGGTAACGGAGGGAAATACAAAAGAACGTGCAAAGATTTCTGCGAAGCATTGAAGAAGGTTCTTGACAAGGACTCCGTCTTAATTCAACTAATCAACGACATCGATGAATTCATCTGGAAGATAAGAGAGAAATTCTCCATCACTCTAGTAGCCCTCTGGTCCCTCTCTTTGCTCTACCTGCTGCACATCGCCGTCGTCCGCCTCGACGTCCTGAGGATACGCTCCCACCTGCGCTCGCCCTCAAGCCACCGCATCGCCGCACAGTCGCTACTCGCAGCGGCACGCGTCAGGGCACTCGCCAACGTCAAGTACTTCTCACCATAATCGTGCCTTAACGTGTGATCTGTGTATCACTCACCCACCCACCCAACCACTCAACCACTCACCCACCTACTCACTCAACCACTCACTCACCTACAACTCACTCACTCACCCAACCACCTAATCACTCACCCACCCACTCACTCACTCAACCACATACTCACCCACTCAACCACCCACCCACTCACTCAACCACCCACCTAATCACCAACTCACCTAATCACTCACCCACTCACTCAACCACTCAACCACTCACTCACCAACTCACCTAATCACTCACCCACTCACTCAACCACTCAACCACTCACTCACCCACTCACCCACTCACTCACCTAAGTCACCCACTCAACCACCCACCCACCCACTCAACCACTCACCCACCCACTCAACCTCAACCATCACTCACCCACCCAC